AGTTGGCTTTCTGGGCTGCAAGTGCACACTGCCAGCTCATGTCCAGCCTCCCATCCACCAACACCCCCAAGTCCTTCTGGGCAGGGCTGCTCACAATCTGTCCATCCCCCACCCTGTATTGAGACTGGAGGCTGGTCCAACCCAGGTGCAGCACCTTGCCCTTGGTCTTGTTAATCCATGGTATTCCGATGGGTCTGCTTCTCAAGCTTGTCCAGGTCCCTCTGGATGGCATCCTGTCCTTCTGGTGTGTCAACTGCACCACTTGGCTTGGTGTTATCAACAAATTTGCTGAAGGTGCACTTGGTCCCATTGTCTTATATAATTGATAAAGATTAATATTAAACAGTACTGGTCCCAGTACAGACCCCTGAAGGATACCACTCATCGTGAGTCTCCATCTAGACATTGAACTGCTGACAGCTACTTCTTATGAGAAGTGTAATAACTCTTGAATAAAAAACTATTGGATAAATGTCTCCGCTTTCATTGCGTGGTAAGCAGAGTGTTTGAATTTATGGAAGCTTTGGTACCTGGGTGATACAGGAACTTACTGTCTAGATGTAAACCCACCACAATGTAAACCACTTCATGCTTTGCTTTTCAGATGCACTTGTGTCAAGTGTTGGACTTAAGCTGGTTGGACCATATGATATTCTTGCTGGAAAACACAAAAAAGCAAAATCAACAAATGTGAACTTCAATCTTCATTGGAGATTCTTCTATGATCCCCCAGAATTCCAGACTATACTTGTCGGGGATAGCAAAACACAGTATCACATGGGATATTTCAGGTACTTTATTTACTATATGCTCTTGGTGGGCTATATTATGCATGACTTGTTGTCCTCTTATTTCTATGAGACATGATTTGAGAATTGTGTGCTATCACCAAACAAGAATATTTCTCTCCTGTAATAGGATATTAACACATGGGTTGATAACTTTTTATTAAAGATCACAGATCCTGGAGTTGAAGACTAAATTTAAACTACCTCCCCCAACCATGCTGAGCACCTTCACTTATTAATCTTTAACTTTTGCCATGATACTTTGAAGAAAAATTCAAATGAACTACAGGGAACATGTATTCTCTCTGCATGTATGGTTTGGTTGCAAGCTCTTCTCAAGGCTGTAAGATTCTATAGCTTTAGATCTAAGGGCATGCCTTGGTAGGTTTCTGAAGGATTTGGCAGCATGGTGAGGAGGCAAATTAACCTTACTTTGAAACAGGAGAAGTGGACACAGCTTGACTATTTGTGTTTGCTCTTTCATCAACAGGGATGTACCAGATGAGCTCCCAGTATGGGTTGGTGCAAATGAAGCTAAGAAGGGCTGTGTGATTTCAGAAGTTGGTGATAATGTCTTTGCTGCAGTCAAGTAAGGTTCCTATTTACTTTTATGTGTAAAGAATAGACAAATTATTAATTGGGAGATATGATGTGGAAGAAGGCAGCAAAGTTATTATTTATATTTCTCAAGAAACCCTCACTTATTTTCTGCCCCTGCTAGCAAGTGTTAAGGTTCTCTCAAAAGGCTTCATAGGCTTTTTGGTAGTGTTTTCCTTTTAGAAGTAAAATAGGTAAGCATTAATTATCCCATTCTCTAAATGTGTTGTCAGGGATAGGCTCTGCAGGGGGAAATATACCCACTGGGTATGTTAAAACACTTTGTAAGTCAAGAAAGGGCATCTCAAGCAGTGGTGAAGGAAAAATGAGTATTGTAGTAGATGAGTGGCATCTGGGTCTTGTTCTTGCCCACGTAAAAATACATTACTTTGGTATATAATGAATAGCTACAAGAAGTGCCATTTCTGACCTGGGGCAGGATAACATTTATATGGACATGTAATGCAGTGTGATTTATGAAGCTTTACATGATCCTGTGTCAGGAATGTAAACAACAGATCTCATCCCTGCCTGTTAAAAATGGAAAGCTCTCTAAGGACAGGTGTGTGTCAGTCAGTGGAAGGAGGTTGAATAATGGTTCCTGCAAAACAGTTCCTGTGCAGTGCAGAGTTAAACGAGGGCATTTGTTTTGAAAGCACCATGAGGGAACTCATAAATATGTATTTGTGTGCATGACTAGGATGACAAATGGTGTATATGGCACTGGAGCAGCCAACTGAGTTCTTAAAGCAGAAAGAGGAACAGCTCCTTGAGTTCAGGAGAATCTTCAGCACCTGCAGCTCCACAGACCACATTGTAATGCAGATACAGATAGGAAATGCCAAAGTACTGTCTGTGCCAATCTGTTTTCTTTCTTATTGTTAAGAGGCTTGCATTTCCAAGTCTGTATAAACAAACTCAGGACTGCTAATCTTCATGATAAGATCTGGAGGTTTAGTGCTTAAAAGGCTATTAATTTTTGTTACGTTCTTCAAGACATATTTCTTCTGTTTGCAGATTATTTTTGTCAAAGAAACTTCAGGAAGTGACTGATAAAAAGAAAAATGCTGTTTTGAAAGGCATAGATGAAAAACTAACAAGGAGAGCAAAAGAACTTGGTTATTCTCTGGAACAAAAAACCATGAAGATGAAACAGAGAGATAAGAAAGTATGACTTTCCTCATCCACTGGAGAGAACTAAGTTCTGTTAAATTTTTTTTCCTTTACTTTTCTGCTTATTTTAATTTTCACCCTTCTGCTCCATCAGGATGCTTCATTTAGGAATTTCCAAAGCTAATCAGCTCTAGAACTTCAGGAGAAGGAATATTAATACAAGGGTGTTTCAAATAATTGCATTAAATCAAAACACTTTACTCTTGTAAACCATAGCTTGGCATTTGGTTAAAAAAAAAACCTAAAAAAAACAAACCATCAACAAAACCCCAAAACAAACAATAAGGAAAATAGTCTAAAAACTAAAACAAAACGTGGGCGTGGAGAAGACTAAATGTGAGAGTCTTGTGAGCAATTGGGTTGGATCTGTCAGAAACAGGATCATTAAGGATGATAGGGATAGTAATAGAGGTTTTTCACATACCTATCAGAAATAATTGTGGTAGGAGGTGACTAAACATACATGTTACAGTGCTGTATAAGTGACCACAAGGGTTCCTAGACTTCAGAACTTGACTGAAACGGCATTGCTAGTTATCTTGCACTTCAATACCTTAAAGTAACTGCAATATAGTTTGAAACTAAATTGATGTCCTGGAGCCAGGACTCTGCATTGGGTTTGACCACCTGTGGGTCAGGTGTTAGTGTGTAATGAAATGAGTGGTTTTATGTTCTATTTCCTGTCTCTTTATTAGGTGGTGACCAAAGCATTTCATGGAGCAGGCCTAGTAGTTCCTGTAGACAAAAATGATGTTGGATACAGAGAACTTCCTGAAACAAATTGTAAGTATCTTGTTCACTACATTCTTCTGCTTTATTTAAGTGAGCAACACTCACAATCACACAGCCATTCTGCAGAAAAAAAACCTGCATTCATATTTTTTACTTGAAGAATATGAGTGGTGGGAGTAAAAGGTCAACATCTAAACCATCACACTTGAGCTCAAAGTATTTTCCTTAAATGAACTAGATGAGAAATGTGCTAAATCTGAAATAATAATTCCTGAAGTAGTAGTTTAGATGACCATTTCTTTTGTATTGGCACAACCATGCAGGAAGTAGATGCAAAAAGCTGATCCACATTCAGGGATTTGTGGGTTTGTTTCTTATCCACCCTCTTCTGCCAGTGTTATTTTACCAGAATCAGTTCTTTGATGCAGCTTCACCACACAAATGCTTCTCTTTCTCTATGGGGAGCTGAGAGAGATGGGCATGGGGACAGAATGAGCAGCAAAGGAAAGGGGGAAGCTTTTCCACCAGCAGTTCAGGGTGTGCCTGCTTAGTTTATATGTAAGCATGACATGCAGGTACAGTTTTGCCACAGATTGCTTCTGGGCATATTAAATTCCTTTATTTAAGCATCTCAATATTTCCTTTTGGGTTGGTGATTTATTTTTATTTTTTTTTTAGCTAATCTTAAGAAAATATGCAAGGCCATTGTTGATGCTCCTACTGATGATGAAAGAGTGAAGGCCTTTGCACCCATTCAAGAAATGCTGACCTTTGTTCAGTTTGCTAATGATGAATGTGACTATGGAATGGGGTATGAACTGGGTATGGACCTGTTCTGCTATGGATCACATGTGAGTACTACAATAATCATACTTCACAAGATTATGCATTACTTTATACATGGACCAGGAGTTGTTCCGTGTTGTGGAATAGTTATCCCTGGGAGTCTGTAAAAATATTCTTAATTCACGAAGACTCTTAAAAAGTCACACCTGGGACATCATTCCAAGTTGAATATAAAATTGCATGTATGCAAGGCTAATCTTCCAGTATAGAAATAAAATGCAGAGTACCTGATCCAAGTGCACTGAATAGCTAGGGGCCCCTGTCCTCAACTGCTTGTATTAGGCACAAGCACTTGTATTAAACCAGATCAGGAAACAGAGATGCTTGTAGTAAACCCCAGCTGGAAAAATGTGAGCTCAGGTGAGCTGCCTGGCTGCACTGCCTGTGCTTAGGTGTCCTCTCACCTCAGGTGTCTTTCTGGTTCTGTGTTAATAATGAATATCATCATATCACCATAGGGTGGTTGACTTACTAGCACTCAATTACACATAAAGGTTCTAGTTAATGCTATTTTGTTCTGTGTTAGCCACTGCCTTGATGAAACAAGTGATACCTGTAACCATCTGTGACTAGAAAATAACACAATAAAGAAGCTCCAACATCAACGTAATATGACTAGATGGTCATAGAAGCACCCATGTGAAGTAGCTTCTTCTAGCAAAACCCAGTATTGGCTAAGGGGTGCTCCAGAATACCATGTGAAAGATAAAAATCTTGTAATAAATGTAGGCTCAAGAGCTGTGCTGAACACCAGTTAAAATATTTAGCCGTTGAGATAAAGGAAAACTTGCTGCTCTTTCCATACACTGTTAAATTACTAATGTGTTTCTTAGATTTCCTGTCCTGCTCACTGAAGTTTCCTACAGCATCTGAAAATGTGTGATATTTTCCTCTGGTACTCTGCTTGTTTAGGACCCTCCCTTCAGTGACTAGGCTGCTTCAGATGCTTAAATCCTTTCTGCAGCTGGAAAGGCAGTGAAGGGAATAGTTCCTCTCAGTTGGCTGAGTGGGTGGAATCAAACACCCATTTTTCACACTGTGCTTCTCAGCACATGAGGTTAATGACTGAAAAAGTCCTGCAACGACAAATTACGTGTACTGTCATGTGTCTTCTGTCTCTCTTAGGCAGCGGTTTGAAACAGCTGCAACTTAGCAGCTGTTTTCTAAAAACAGAAACCTCCATTTTCTAGTTTAGTAAACAGAAAGTACCCAGTGGTTTCACACAAGTTTCACCATGGTTTGGTCCCTGCCTGTCTTGGAGCTCCTACTTGGCGCTGCTTCCCCGTGTGACTGGAGCCTACCTGTCCCTTCCTTACAGAGCCAGAGAAACACTGGCACTTTATCTGTAGCCCGAGACATGGAAAAGGACTTAAATCACAGTCCCCTTCATATAAGAGGTATAGTGGGCATAATAAAGATGTCAGGGCTTACACGTACAATAGCCCTTGCAAATGCTAAATACACTCTGACTCTTAGGCATTTGAAGCATTTAAATGGTTATTAGAAGTACCACTGTAATCCCCTTGAGCTGTGGAGTGTGCCAGGACATGGGACTGTGATGGGACACGGGACTTGAAGCACAGGCTGGAGCCCTGCATGCTGTAATGCTGATTTCCATCACTTCACCTGCTAAAAATAGGTTTTCATCTCTCCCTGGGGCAGCTCAGGTAGCCCTGCCTGACCTTGCTGTGGCTGTTACAGGTACAGCATGAGGATGTGCTGGGCTGTTTTGGGAGCAGGTGGGGAGCAGTGTGAATTGGGCAAAGCCAGGAGGAGCTGGGGCTGCTCTCGGGATACAGCAAGGCACTGATGGCCAGGGCTGCTCTTGTGTTCCCTCTCGCCTGCAGTACTTCCACAAGATGGTGGGCCAGCTGCTGCCCCTGGCGTACACCCTGCTGAAGAGAGACCTCTTTGCCGAGATCATCGAGTCGCACCTGAGCAGTCGGCGGGAGGAGCACCTGGACCAGCTGCTGCCCTGAGCCGGGGTGGGCAGCGCTGCCATCCCGGGCCCGGGGTTGGCTGCATGTGTGTGTGTATGTGTTTATGGGTCTTTTGTACTCGGTGGCTGTGTCCCTGCGGTCAGTAAAGCTTTTCTAAGGAAAGCGCTGCCTCCCGGTGCTGCCTGGGGGGGGTCGGGCCGTGGCGCTGGGCTCGGTGGGAGGGGAGTGCTGCGCACCGTGCTCTGCGCACCGTGCTCTGCCCGGCGCTGGGAGGCTGAACCCCAGCACTGTCCGTTCTGTACCTCCTCCTTCCCAGCCCGGCGCGGAGCCTGGGCGGGTTGGAGTTGCTGTACCGAGGCACGGGGAGGGCCTCACACTGCTCGGAGCACTGGGGAAGTTTCAAGCAAGGGGATATCATAGGGTTGGCTGCAGCTCAGCTGCAAATAGCTGCTGATGTACCTACCGAGCCACATGTCCCTGCTCTGGGTGATTTTTGCCACCGGTCTGCATTTTTGTCAGTTGCTCCACCACGTAGGTAAAACATTCCCTTAGAGAGCAGCATTTCCTCCTGTGGCAAAACACTACCCGTGGTCTGACACTGCTGGAGCTGCCTCCAGCAGGGGGAAACAGATGGGATAAAGAAAAAACTGACAGGAGAAATTAGAAATTCCACTGCAGTTGCTACCTCAGTAATCAGATGATGTCATCCCCTGTTTTCAGCACTAATCTGGACATTTAAAAACGGAACCAAAGTGATCTTGTACAAGATGCAAATTAATTGTTTTCAAGCTCACTGGCCCACAGCTGTTTCCTTTTTATTGCACTTGGAGTTTTGTTCTTGGGCAACTGCTTGAAATAACAGTCCAGCAACAATGGAAAGTAACATTTGCTCTTATGCAACAGACCTGCCACTGTACAGTGACCTGACTTCTTCTGTAGCAACTCACATCATTATGAATTACAGTAATTAATACTAATTACTTCTAACAAAAAATACAGGCCACTAGCAACATGTTCAGATTTAAAAGTTGTTAGTTCTTCAGCAAAGCATTGTACCTTCAAAGCTCCCTTCTAGCATAAAGGAGTATATAATTCACAGTGTAGGATAGAGTGAAAGAAGGTTTTGCATTGTTATTTAAATATGCACTTACATCTGCAAAAATGAGAACATTAGACAGGAAATATTTATCTATTAACCCCTGATGGAGAAGGAAATTGTTACAGCAGCTGGAAAATTAATGGAGTGCTGTACACCATTAAATTGTGGACAGACACTTCAGCAGGGCCTGAGGAGATAGTTTAAAACAGTTATCCCTTGTCCTAACAATGTGTAGGGTCAGACTAGATACAACAAAGAAATTTTTTGTTCTGAGAGTGGTCAAACACTGGCACAGCTGGCCCAGAGAGGAGGTGGATGTCCCATCTCTGGGAAAGATGATGGTCAGACTGAATGGGACTTTGAGCAGCCTGGTCTAGCAGGTGTCCCTGCCCAGAGCAGGGATGCTGGTCTAGGTGATCTTTAAGGTCCCTTCCACCTCCAAACCATTCTATGAATAATACATCATCAACAGACAGTTTGTAGACAATAAAAAAAAGCATCATCTGCTTGTAAGGACTTTAAATCAGAAAGCCAACTATTCTATAATTAAAGCATCCTGACCTGTTTGATTGGGTTGATTTGGCTACTGATTTGTAGTCAAATACTAGGCAATGCAAAGACTGCATCTCCTAAAATCATTCTCCTCTTTATCTGCTTACTAGTTTCATATCTAAAATTCCTAGCTGTTAGTTTTCTCTCAGGGAAAATAAATGCAAAAATCAGTGCAAACATTGTTTGTGAAAACAATGAGAAAACATGACAGAACAATAAGTGGTCATACAGAAGTTTTTAATGTTTGATTAAATCATCACAGTAATGAGAATTTTTACTGTAATGATATGCAGCTCTACCACACTATTATAAATAAAAACATTAAGATCAATATTAAATACAGCTCTAGGCAACATCACAGATTAACAAAGAATGCATTCTTCATGAACCAGTATCTGAATGGTTTGAAAATAAAAAAATGCTGACACTTTCCCCCTCCCATCCACCACATTTTCTCAAATTAGTAACTTGAGTAAGGCGCTGCAAGTTTTATGTTAGAAATTTTTTGTTGCACAGCACAGGCACACATACTTCATTACCAGAGCCTCTACTGTATGTTTACCAGAAGACATTTTAAATGTCAACAGGGAAAGCTTAGCAGGTTAAGAAGAGTAAACAGAGATGCACAATTCATATGCAGCACTCGGGATGAACACAGCAGGGGTGTGAACTGTATTTTAATTCAGACAGTACAGGCTGCAGAATTAGGTGCAAGTTAATACAGTACACACAGCAGTGTTTTGTGGTAACATCAGACACGGCAGAAATTTCAAACTGATTGAAAGCTATTTTTGTATGTGTAGTGTGTTTATATTCTTCCACTAGAAAAAAAAGACAGCAGAAATCACCATCACAGACAACTTCCAGAGCTGCTGTCTGTAAATGGACCAAGTCCTGCTCTTTGTGAAGTCTCTTCTTCAGGCTTATACAGTCTAACAGAGCAAATTTTTAACCACTAGCACCACTTCACGTGGAAGAGTACAGATAGTTGCTGCAACATTCCTGTTTTAACATAGCCTGATTCCCTGTTTCAGTTCCCAACCTGTTTCTAACACAGGGCCTGATCACTGTGAGCCTGCTGGCACCTTTTGCTGTCTACTGGTTCCAGTAGCTGCTAGAGATGAGATGATGCAGTGTAGATGGCAGTTCTTTAATCACAAAAGTTGGTTAAAATTCACCAGTGCATTTACTTAAGCACAGGCCCTATTTTGTAGCTTGCCAAAAGCACAGAATATTGGTTCAGTGTGTTGTACTTAAGGTAAAATCATACTGAGTACTTTGTCAATAAAGATGTTTGAGGTAACTGTGATGAATGCCTGAGATACTTAAGATTATTATTTTAGACTTTCAGTGTTTAGATTTTTGCAATTTTTTGGCAGAATTGTTAGAACAAGAAGATTTTATCTAACCTTGTATTATAAAACATGACTTGGGTCAGCCAGATTTCTTAATTTTTTTTCCTCCCTACTTTAGGCTTATAGCATAATTTTCCTTTTTTTTCCCTCTGCATATATTTGTGGTGATGGTGTCTTGATAAAATGAGTATTAAACTAAATACTCTAAAAGAAGTTAGGGATCTGTCAGTTCACCTGCTAGTGTGTGTGTTGCTGCTGAATTTAGAAGTCCTGCCAAAGTTTCAAGTACTGGATTCAATTCTGCCCAGCTGCTCAGGTGTGGCTACATATAATTTACACCTCTATATACTTGGGATTAAAAAAAAGACTCAGAAGCAATCTAATACTTCTTTTCTCCTATTATTTTTAAAACCCTGCAGTTTTCTTTAAATTAAAATTTTAATATTACTGTTCCAGTTATCTGCTAGTAAAGGAAAAAGGAAATCCAAGGTAACGGCAGTGAAAGTTATATTTGAAAATGGTCTTGTATGCACATTGGATCATAAAGAAGCTATTTTGTTGAAACCCTTCATCTAGTTGTAAACATTTGCTAATCCTCCATTATTTGCAGAGGATTATGAGATACTCTATAAAATCACATTAAAAAGGTAATTAGTTATGTGAGATATTAACTGATTCGTATTTAATAGATTTTTTTAAATCCATACAAATATAAATAAAGAATGGTAAAACTTCAAGAAAAATAATATACATTTAGTGCAAGTTATGAGTTACATTTCTTCCTACCATGTCAGCAGTGGAACATCTTTTGTGGAGAACAGAAAATAAAAATGACCGTTCTCAAATTGTACAGGGGGGAAAAAGATCTCCAGTGTTGTAGCATGCAGTTTTTACCAGATACACGTATACAGCATTGTTCCAGCTCTTAAACTAGTAGAATAGCAGTATTATTCCTTATACTGCACAACATTGGTATATATCATAGTGTTTTCAATAATACAAAAATTGCATAAGACCAGGTCACATTATTGATACTCTCTGCAGCAAAACCAGTATTTTTCTCTGAAATGCTAGTTTCATCAGGTTTCAATATTCTCATATCACACCAGCACACGGGTTGAAAGAAGTCGCACGTGGCTCTTGCAAGGTATTACCTATTCAATCTGGTTTTGTCGCAGTGGATCTGCACTGCCCCAAGCATTTTGTGATGTACGAACTTACACGTTTAATGGCACAAGAAAAACCTCCCTTCTTGTGATCAAACCTCAGTAACTCACAGTACATCTCAATATGAGAAACAACTGCTTCGAAAGGGCACACCAATTTTAAAGAGGCTTTGTTACGGCTCAGGAGAGAGAGAAATAAAGCTCTTCTGGAATGTAGAAAGGTGACGTGTAATAGTTAATACGTTTCATGAGTTAACACAACAGTTTTCAATGGTAAAAAGGGCAAGACCTCTCAGTCTCCACAAGATGGCTCAATTCAGAACGATCCCTCCAGAAATAGGGATTAATAACACATCTCTTCAATGCTGAAGTACCAGGCTGGGGCTGGAGAATGGCGCCACCTCGCACGGCTCACCCACTGCACTATCATGGCAGACCTGATGCCTCAGGACGCATCCAGTGCAGGACAGCAGCTCTCCCTTCCCACACTGCCATCAGCTTTCCTCCTCGCCACACGCTCCCCCAGACCGACTCCCGATCGCCAGCAGCACCGTTACGCAAAGACCCAGCTCTCGTCTCTGATTTTTTAAGTACTCCCCAGACTAAAGTGTTGTGCTATTCAACAAATGAACCTCCTCTTCCGTTTCCTCTCTCTCCTCAGCTATGGGTTTCAGTTGAACATTATGGACGCGGGGTCTTGGTTTGCCGTCTGGGCCATATGACGGAGGATATCTTTTTTTGTTATAATGCCAAGGAGGCGCCTGAAAAGGATAAATGGAAGACTGATATTAATCCAAGCAGGAAACTAATAAAGCAGAACAAATCTGTAGCCAAGTCCTTTTTGTTGACAGGAATAGAGCAAAAGTA